CAGGAGCTCACTCTGCTACGCTAAGGCTGGGCTCGAACCGCTGAAGTGTCGACCATTTCTGCCCGGCAACTTTCAGCGTCATTAAGCTGCTGCACCACCATGTCCTTCTCCATAATAGGACAGAATAATTACTGTTGAGGAAGCCTTTGCTCCACAGCACTCAGATTTTATTTATCTGTTTGATTCGTAGCTTTCCTAATAACATTCCAAAGTAGCTTATTGGTAATTAAAAATAAGTGGAACCTACAACAAAATTATGTAATGAGGATTTATCTTTTTCGGGGTCTCATTTAGCTAACAAGCCATGTTTCTTCTAGAGTTCTCCACTTCATTCCTCCTTCTGGTTTATCATTTCCTCCCCTAATAGACTGTTGGCATTCTGTACCTACACAGTATGCTCTCCCTTTCAGAGTTTTGCCATCCCTGTAGGATTTCTTTTCTATTTCTTTTCTATTTAAAAAAAAACAAAAAGTATTTCTGCTATCTGAAGAATTCTGTGGACCTGCTGATAGCGCCCTCTGGTATGTGATTGGCAACACTTCATGAAATATGTGCCAAAGGGAAACACGTCAGATTTCATGATACTTTATAATAGAGAGTCTTTTTCTTTCTACTCTGAAATGTTCATATACTGTTTAATGTTTGATATACAAATAATATGCCTAGATTGTTCATATTTTCCATTTTTTCTGTTTTGCTTGTTGTTGCATATTATTAATTATGTTCCTCTGTTTTCTATTTTTGTTTATAGTTTGTTTTGGAATGTTCTTGTAGTTGGAATTTGTATTTTTGTGTATTTTTCAAAATAAATAAATAGTGTTATTGGCAATATTTGGCCACATAAGGATCATCACATGGAAAATGTTTTTTAATATATATAAGCATTCCATTTATATATCGATCACTTTCAAAATATTTAAATCAATCCACTAACACATCTCCATGTAGAACAGCAATCAAATATTATAATCAGTGCCACACAGAAGTACTTTTTTAGTATTTTTTTATTCTTAAATTGCAAAATGATAATGATACTGATCAAGACCTAAGAGCATCAGAGAAGATTCTAGGTTTACCTTAGGGTTTCTTAAATAAACCTTTCATCCCCAAACTATGAATGCTTTTATTCATGTTATACATTGATATGGATATGATTTCCAATACCTAAGTGTTTTTTTTTTAATGTAAGAAAGAAAAGATATTTTCTTTTACTGTTCTCAGAATAATGAGTTCATAGTTAATGGAGAAAAAAAAATCATCATTCAGAATGTTAAACAGAAGTCTAAAAACATCTTAACTAATAAATACATTTTTATCAAACTTTCTGATCCCAATTCCAAAATTTAATACCTGGAAAAGAAATATTAAGACATTTAATTGTAATATAATAATTAAATCAAAACAATTTCTAAAATGAAAGTATTGCTTCGTTTTAGTCCTATAGTCATAATCATAGAGCCTGACACTAAAATCTTTATTCATTTTAAATGTTGTATACCTCAGATGGACAAAATTTTAACCACTTTATGAATATTTATTCAAATAATTAAAAAGTCACTGTACATCTATCAAAACACTAATGAAAATAAAGATGATTATTTCTATTTAAAATCTCAATAGTAAATATATTGTAATTTTTCTACCATACCAATGCATAAGATAGAAAAAAAAATAACATAAAATGTTATTTTAAACCTTGGGTGTCCTTTTTTTTTCAGAACTACAAACGCCATATGGATGGCATGTATGGGCCTCCAGCAAAACGTCATGATGGAGATATGTTTAACATGCAGTATGGAAACCAACAGCAGGATATGTTTAACCAGTACAGCAGTGCTTATGCTGGACCAGACAGGAGACCCATGCAGGGACAGTATCCATATCCTTATAACAGGGAGAGGATGCAGGGTCCTGGACAAATGCAACAACATGGAATACCTCCTCAGATGATTGGTGGCCCTATGCAGTCATCAGCTTCCAGTGAAAGCCCCCAACAGAATATGTGGCCCACAAGAAATGATATGTCTTACCCATATCAGAACAGGCAAGGTCCTGGGGGCCCTGCACAGGCCCCACCTTATCCAGGGATGAACCGTACTGAAGATATGATGGTACCTGACCAGAGAATAAACCATGAAAGCCAGTGGCCTTCTCATGTCAACCAGAGACAGCCTTCTTACATGTCATCCTCTGCTTCCATGCAGCCTATCACTCGACCTCCTCAGTCATCCTATCAGACGCCACCATCAATGCCAAACCACATATCTCGAGCTCCTAGCCCTGCATCTTTCCCACGCTCTCATGAAAATCGTATGTCTCCCAGTAAATCTCCTTTCCTATCCTCTATGAAGATGCCAAAAGTTATGCCTGCTCTTCCGGGCTCACAGGTCACAGGTCCTCCAACACAGCCACCACCACCTATCAGGCGGGAAGTCACTTTTCCTCCAGGTTCAGTAGAAGCATCCCAACCAGTCTTAAAACCAAGACGAAAGATTACCTCAAAAGATATTGGTAAGTCTTACTATCATCCTTATAGAGGAAGAGACTTTTCAACAATAATTCTGTAGAGCTTGCATTTACATTAATTCACTTGAGAGATTAGTTTTATTAAATTGAAGCTGTGCTCAGAGTTCTTTCATGGCAGAAAGAATGATTTATGTATCATCAATTAATAAAATACAAATAAATACTGAATATTTATTTCAGTAAAATAAGAGCTCTTATATTAGATGCAGTCTTCCAAATCTGTTTTGTTCCTCCCTGAAAGAAGCAAGCAAGCTAGATAGAGAGATGAATGTTGGTGTTGCAAAAGGCACAATAGATTGTATTATTTTAAGATGACATTGTTCTTATTGTATACTTTCATAGTGCTTTGCATTGTTTATAATTAAACTAGACCATGCTCATGGTCTCAAACCAAAAGTCTGAGTTCACATACAATGCATCCTACAGCTAGTAACTCTTAAACAATCAGCTCCATTGAAATTTAACTTGAAAACTCTCCTTCTACTATAGGAGAAAGTTGTTAATGGAATAGTAACTGTTGATAAAAGGAAGCAATTAAAACATATGTAAAGGCTGGGGAAGTTTGTCTTGGGGCAGTATAGCAGAATTGTTACTTGGAAAATGGATCTATGAGATATGATATTGACATATTCTGGACATGCTGATCAGTCATCTTTGTTGAAAGTTAGCAAAGATAGTCTTATTGAACTGATATATGCCCCCCTTTACTGGAGTTGCTGATAAATAGTATCTAGTTGCATGTTACAGAGACATACAGTGATGTTTGAACATCACTCAAGATGTAAATAATATTCTTCTATTGGCACCTCTCCTTCCCTAAGAGGAAACCCAAGGTACTCTAGGAGAATTAGTTTCCTATGGAGGAAAAGATACTAGCAGGGTTTTTTTAATTCTATTTTGCTTTGGTTCTTTATAGTGGGCATTGTAAGAGTGCAGAAGCAAGCATAATTTTTATTTTTCTGAAGAAGAAGAAACTAATACAGTAGTGGTGATGTATCCCCTGTCAACCTCTTCCACTGGTGTTATAAAGCTGTTTTTCTCAACACACTCCTACTCTAAAGGACAGGATGATCAACTGAGTTTTACAGAATTAAAACCAAACATTTCATCAGAATATATACAAATAGTTTTCACTGCGCACCACAAAGCATGTGTGACACACATACATATATATTCCTGAATTAGCTGAGATAAAGACAACTACCAGCCTTACTGTCTCTGTCAATTTCCCAGGTTTTAGAGAGGGTCATAACTTTAATTTCACAACAGTTTCAAAATATCGGTCTAGCTCTTTTCACATGAATATATAGTAGGGCTGTACAAGCATCAGAAATGATTTGGAAATACTTTGGAACTTGTGTAAGTACAGCACCTCTCTGCTCTTTAATAAAGCAAATATGTCTGTTTTCAGGCTTCAGATGCTGCTGCGTTAAAAGTTGGTTTAATGAGTATGCTCATTAAAACAGTGAATTTTTTTTTTTACAGTGGATTTGTTTATCATTTGAAATCTGTCTTGCAGATTTCTTCTTGATGCATGCTTCCTTGCTTTATTTATTTGTTGTTTCCAGTGACTCCTGAGGCATGGCGAGTGATGATGTCTCTTAAATCGGGCCTTCTTGCTGAAAGTACTTGGGCGTTAGATACTATTAATATTCTTCTGTATGATGACAGTACAGTTGCTACTTTCAATCTCTCTCAGGTAGGTTGGTTGTTATTTTTCATCCAAGTGCCTTTCATTCCTTCGGTGGGTGGGTGGGTAGGGTCCTACTCTCCTTTCCAGTGCCTGAGCCATCCAACTCCCCTTAGGAGTAGGGCAAGTCCTCTGGAGGCCACAAAAGGTGTACAGCTCATAGGTGGTGGCTCAGTAACTGGTACAGTCCCATGTTCTCCTGTGGGGGGAGGCAAGGATGCACATTGTCATGCCACTCAGGACTGGTTTTCTTGCTCATCCCCAGCTGTTGCAGCAACCTGTGAATGTAGAGGCCATGGGTCTTGTTCTCACTGGTAAAGAAAAATAAAGTAGGGCAAAGAACTGAAACAAATGGAAAAGGAGGGAAAGGCAGGTCTGGCTGTTGAGGGAGTCCAGGTTGTGTGGAGGAGGGTAGTGGAGTTGGTGGGTGTGTATTCTCTCCAGGGCAAAGCAAGGTCAGACTTGGAGGTGGAGCTATCTCCTCTCACCAGAAGCACCATCAGAATCTTCTAGACCTGCTGCTGGAGTTGCCCACTGTCTCTGCTATAGAACTAGGACCTTCAACAGTAAATCCAATCTACCATTCTAAAACCTCCTAATGTCATCTATCTTAATGAAAAGCATTGCATTTCTGGCTTCCTTGTTCCTCTAACATCACTGCCCCAAGTACTCCTGAGACGCAGGGAATTTCTAGAATTGACTGAAAAGGGGGTTTAAAGTTGCAAGAAGGTGAAAAGATTCCAAAAGCAGGAAACCAGTTTACATGAATAACTGTAACTGCAGGATCACATGTAAAGGTTCTCATGCTTTGTGGAGAAAAGGAATTTTCCTGGAAAAGAAAACTCATTTCACTTTACAATCACATGGACTAAAATGCTACTAAAAAGTAAAATTTTAAGGAACTCATAATTGTTAACTTTTTTAAAATCAGGGCACACAGTAAACCCTAATTCTAAATCTAATCTACAGATTACTGAACATCTATATTAAAAGTATTTAAAATATCTATATTAAAAGTTTTTGTTTTATGTGTAGATAGGAAGAAAGGTCTAACTGAACATTTTGAATCCTGGAAAGGGGAGACTGAAAATCTTTTTTTTTTTAAATCCTTTCTTATTACCACAATTCTTGTTCCTAATAGACTAAAATGTTCCTTTTACCATTTTTTCTGTTTTTCCTCCCTTTGTTTCCTCAGTTATCTGGTTTTCTTGAGCTGTTGGTGGAATATTTTAGAAAATGCCTGATTGATATTTTTGGGATCCTTATGGAATATGAAGTGGGACATCCGGGACCAAAACTGCAAGATCATACTTCATCTCAAAATGAGGATGGACAGTCTGCAATAGAGGATGTCAGAAAAGAGGAAGAAAACAATGATGAATGTATTGATTACTTTGATGAACTTGAAGATGAGGAGGAAGAAGAGGAAGAAGATGAAAATGAGAACACTGAAGAAGGGAAGAGCACTGTTGTTGCTCCACTTGGTGCCATTGTTGATCCAAGTGAGAGGCCAAAACAAGCCAGTAAGTTTGACAAGTTGCCAATAAAAATTGTGAAGAAAAACAACTTATTTGTTGTTGACCGATCTGACAGGCTGGGGCATGTTCAGGAATTCAACAGTGGGCTTCTTCACTGGCAACTTGGTGGGGGTGATACAACTGAACACATTCAGACCCACTTTGAGAGTAAGATGGAGATTCCTCCTCGCAGACGGCCATCTCTGTCAGTCTCCTCAGGTAAAAAGAAGAATGTGGAGGGGAAAGGAGAATCTGAGGAACAGCAAGACAAAAGCATATCAGCCACTATTGATGATGTCTTGTCAGCTCGTCCAGGAGCATTGTCTGAAGACTCAGACTCTAATTCTCAGACAGATAGCAGTAAATTTCCATTTGGGATCCATCAAGTCAAAAGTCATCGGAATATCAAGCTGCTGGAAGATGAGCCACGGAGTCGAGATGAAACTCCTCTATGCACCATTAATCACTGGCAAGATTCTTTGGCCAAGCGTTGCATCTGTGTGTCAAATATTGTCCGCAGCTTATCTTTTGTGCCTGGCAATGATGTGGAAATGTCAAAACATCCAGGCTTGGTGCTAATCTTGGGAAAGTTGATTCTTCTCCATCATGAACACCCAGAAAGAAAGCGTGCACCACAGACATATGAAAAAGAGGAAGAAGTGGACAAAGGGGTGGCCTGCAGCAAGGATGAGTGGTGGTGGGACTGCCTTGAGGTCTTGAGGGATAATACATTGGTCACATTAGCCAACATTTCTGGGCAGCTAGACTTATCTGCTTACACAGAAAGCATCTGTTTGCCAATTTTGGATGGCTTACTGCACTGGATGGTGTGCCCATCTGCAGAGGCACAAGATCCTTTTCCAACTGTGGGGCCCAACTCAGTCCTTTCGCCTCAGAGACTTGTACTGGAAACCCTGTGTAAACTCAGTATCCAAGACAATAATGTGGACCTTATATTGGCCACTCCCCCATTCAGTCGTCAGGAGAAACTTTATGCTACTTTAGTTAGGTACGTTGGGGACCGCAAAAATCCTGTCTGCCGAGAAATGTCAATGGCGCTCTTATCCAACCTCGCCCGAGGGGACACGTTAGCGGCAAGGGCAATAGCCGTGCAGAAGGGAAGCATTGGAAACTTGATCAGCTTCCTTGAGGACGGGGTCACCATGGCCCAGTACCAGCAGAGCCAGCATAACCTTATGCACATGCAGCCTCCACCTCTGGAGCCCCCTAGTGTGGACATGATGTGTAGGGCAGCCAAGGCCTTGTTGGCCATGGCTCGGGTGGAGGAGAATCGCTCTGAATTTCTTTTACATGAGGGCCGCTTGCTGGATATCTCAATATCAGCTGTCCTGAACTCTCTGGTTGCATCTGTCATCTGTGATGTACTTTTTCAGATAGGGCAGTTATGACACAAGTGAGAAGCAAGCATGTGTGAGTGGAGATTAGAGGGTCACATATAACTGGCTGGTTTCTGTACCTGTTTATCCAGTGTAGGAAGAATGGGAAAAAAAAGAAAAGAAGAAGAAGAAAAAGAAGAAGAAGAAGAAGAAGAAGAATCTTTGCTCCTCTGCCCCATTCACTATTTACCAATTGGGAATTTCAAAACATTCATTTGAACAGTTATGGAATTAATATTTGCTGTCTCTGTGCATAAGTACATCCTTTTATTTTATTTTTTTAACCAAAGTCTCTGTCTAGTACGTTCAAAGATCACACTTCTTTTTCATAGCTATCCTTGTCAGTGTTTGTTTTTTGTTTTTCCCATGTTTGAATCATATTTTTGGGGGAGGGGAAGCAACCTAGAGTTTGGGGTGTCAGAATATAGCAAAATATGATTTGATGTTGGAAGGAGAGGGCATGCCACTCTGAAATGCAAAAGTGGAAAAAATATGCTGAGTTAATGTGCTTTTTTTTTAAGAACAAAAGAAAGTCCAACCATCCTTACTGCCGTTGCCCAAAGCGCTGTGTGCAATAGAAGAATGATAGTGATGTAGGTGTAGCGGATCAAGGAAGGGGGTCAGTCCATCATCTGCCCACAACATTTTCTTGGTTTTTCTGCAGGAGAATGGTTACACTAGGCTAGGAGCAAAACCAATTCTTTAGGAAAGTAAAAACACAACTCTGAAGACGATCAACACAAATTGCTTCCTCACCAGAACTGTCACATCAGTATCTATTGTTTGACCTTCCACAATGACAGTTCATCACAATTCCTTTTAATCATTTTTTAATATTTTTTATTGCCTAAAGGCAGTGATGTATATAGAAGTTGTACATTAAACATACCCTCATCTTTTTTTTAAAAAAAAAACAAGTACAAGGATTTATTTTTTTTCATGATGTGGTAACTACAAAGTGATAGTAGACTTAATTTTATTATTATTATTATTGTTATTATTATTATTATTGTTATTATTATTATTATTATTATTTTCTTTGGGCCATAACTCCAAAAACTAAGAAAAAAACACCACGAGGGTAATGTACAAGTTTCTGTATGTATAAAGTCATGCTCTATTTCGGGAGAGCAATTGCTCACAACTTACTTTATAAATCAAGATGTGGAAATGGTTACGTATGGATTGATTTAAGAAAATGGTTACCAGTCTACAGGAAAAAAAAATACATATATGGGGAAAAAAAAGAAAACACAACTTCAAAGATTTTTCAGTGCAGAGAATACACATTTGTATTTCAAAATAATGTAGTTTAAAAAAAATACAAAAAAACTTGATGTAAATTCCTCCTTTTCCTCTGGCTTAATGAATATCATTTATTCAGTATAAAATCTTTATATGTTCCACATGTTAAGAATAAATGTACATTAAATCTTGTTAAGCACTGTGATGGGTGTTCTTGAATAATGTTCTCATTTCATCATGAAATCGGACCATTTCAGTCAGTGATGGTGAAGGTTATGTTCTTCTGCCTACCAGTAACTGATCCTGGAGTTCATCTAGTGTTCAGATAACGCAACAAACAAAAACATTACATTTTCCTATCATTATTTATAATAAAGAAGACCATAGAAGAAGATGAGATTGCTAAATTTCACTGCGTCTACAAGAGTTGCTGCACTCAAGGTATATGTTTGAATAAAACTGTAAAAAATGGTAATCATAATTTGATTGAGTTAGCTTATATTTTCAGCTTGCTTGAGTTACATTTAGTATTATTTACTTATAAAATTAATAGTAATAGCTCTCCGGGCAATGTGCAGTAAAAACACAAAAACAATATTAAATATAATAATCCAGACAGTGACTAAAAGTGCCAGAGATTTAAAAACTGCAAGAGATAAAACTGATAAAGACACCGCATAGCAACAGAAGGGCTATTTTTCAAGAAGAGCTGGGAAAATTAAAGATCCCTTCCCCAGTGCTGGAAAGATAACAGCACAGATTCCTGGCAGGCCTGTCTGGGAAGGGAATTATCTAGCAAGGCTAGTGTTAGCCCCTCATCACGCCTCAACATACAGAAGTACGTGAGAGGAGCCTTTGCAGGACAGATGCTCCCCAGCAGCGCTAGGAAGTTTATAGAAATTAGTAACAACAACTGAAAGCATCCAGAATGTTTTAGTCACAGGAGTTCATTGCTCACAGTACCATAATGGCTATTGCATCCATTTTTTAATGGAAGAAAATAGATTCACACGCTTTCTCTTTTGCATGTTGAACTTCCATTCTCCTCATGCAAATGAATGGGACAACTCCACACAAGACCTCCATGTGCAGATCGGAGTGCAGGCAGATCCCTTGACTGGGGTACTTAGCTGAACTGCATTATACTTCCAATCTTGATAATCATGGGGTTCAAGTCATAAATTACAGCAGCTGTGCTTTTCAATGCATTTTTTTCCCGTTGACCCAAAACATAAACTTCAAAGAATCTGTGGGATGTGGCCAAAGACAGGGTTCCTTTCTACTTTGGTATAATCAGCCTAGAAAGGAAACAACATTGTTCTGCTATCCATCTGTTGCTAGAGGAAGATGCAAGAGGGTCTCATGTCGCTGTGGCAGCGTGTGTACTGGCCCATGCAGCTCTCTGAAATAGCCTAGGATCTAACTGAACAAAGCCTGCAGAATTGACTAGTAAGAATTGCTCCTCACTGTCACTCCATTTCAGCTGAGTACAGTGGTACCTCTAGTTACGAATGCCCCTACTTACGAATTTTTCGAGATACGATCAGCTCCGGCCCAAAAATTTACCTCGACTTGCGTACTCGCCTTGACTTACGAACTGGATCCACAGCCATATTC